CCTAGCTGACTAGAGTACTCCAGCCCCAGAACTGTCACATACATGTACTGGGGTCCGACGTCCGCTCCACTGTGGCGTCGGACCCCACAGTTCTGGGGGTACTACAGTACAGCTACAACTTTTGTACAAATTCATCTGTTCATGTGGGAGTTTGAGGGCCAGCAAGCTGGCAAGGCCAGACTTTCACCAAGATCACATAGGACAATTTGCTAGGATTGGAGTTTTATGCATCCGTTGTAAATTAATTGAAATAATAAAAAACAGCCTCCTGAAGCACCAGCAATAACCTGTTTACCCACATGACCCAGGTACCCCTATCCTCACAGGACATTTGCCAAATGATTTTCCATCCCAGTAGTAGTATTACTAGTAGGGCCTACTAATTTTTTACTGCAGTTGTTGTCAGCCCACCTGGATCATCATTCAGTTGTCATGGTCATGCATGTAATGCGGAGGTGTCTGCCAATCCTTCAAGAAATCTCACTGCACCATGTTTTCTTCACCTAAATTTTCCAAAGCAGTCTTTTACAACTGAAGTCATGAAAGTACATGTATAAAATATAATGATGATAAAATGATGCACTGGAAGGATTGGTAGTTCAGGCCACAAATTCAACTTATAAGGCAGCGATCACTCATGCAAATAATCGACAGTGCCCAAAAAGGATGCAACCCTCTTTCCTTTGTGTGTATTGTAATGGTATTTCTTTCAAATTAATGAACATAAAAATCTTTGTTTTTGTTAACCTTGGCAGAAGTGTCAATTCTTGAGTTATCTACATAAGACAACAAACATTCTTGAGAATGCTTGAAGGTGTAGGAGTGGTAGGGACAGGGTCCCTTGCAAGAATCCTCATTCCAACCCTCCAGGCCGTGGGCATCAAAATAGTGGCTCTCTGGGGTCCCACTCTGGAGAAAGCTGCAGAGCTAGCAAGGTTGTTCAATATCTCCTTCTATACAGACCAAATCGACAACGTCCTCCTGAACCCTGAGGTGGACCTCGTCTGTATCAACACCCCACCCCACCTCCACGCACAGGTGGCTTCCAAGGCCCTTGGTATTGGCAAGCATGTGCTGTGCGAGCGCCCAGCAGGACTGAACAAGAATGACGCCCACAAGATGGTGACGGCTGCCCAGTATTACCCGTCTCTCATGTCCATCATGAACCACTGCCTGAGATTCTTGCCCGCATTTGTCCGCCTTAAGCGGATGATCCAAGATGGCGAGGTGGGAGAGGTTTTCCTGTGCGACGTCCGGGTGACCTGCGGATCTCTCCTCCGGGATAAGTACAACTGGATGTGTGATGAGAACATGGGAGGTGGGGTCTTGAACACGTTTGGCTCCCACCTCATCGACATCATTACTTTCATCACTGGCCAGAAGGCCATCCGTGTGAGGGGCATGCTGAAGACATTTGTGCGACAGACGGACAAGATCAATGGCATCCGGCACATCACCAGCGACGACTTTTGCTCCTTCCAGATGGAGCTGAGCCAGCAGGTGTGCGTTTCTGTGACTCTGAACACCCACGTGCCCGGCCAGTTCAAGCAAGAGATCCTCGTAGTGGGGTCGGAGGGCCGACTGACCCTCAAGGAGGCGGACCTGTATGGCCAAGTAGGCGCGATGGGCCGAGAACAGCTCCTCATGGCCGACATCCAGCACATCACTGAGAGGCAGAAGCAGGGCATTCCGACCAATCAGATCCCACTGCCGTATCTCAAAGGGATGCTGAAACTCATTGATGCCCTGAAGGAATCCTTTGAGAGGAAGAAAGAACGACTGAGCTGGGAGCAAGAACCAGTGGCCTTGGCTGCAAACTTTGAAGATGCAGAGTATGTACAAGCTGTGTTGGATGCAATCCGAGAATCCAATCGCTCTGGTGCTTGGGAACCAGTTAATTTGTCAAATGATGGTGATCCTTGGTGATAGTTATCTCAGCAACTTTTCCCCCCTGAAATTTGACACCAGTAGCAATGTTCAAGGGTCATCTAGTTGGTGAAAATACATTCAGTGTAAAAACTCAAATTAGTTAATACAAATTGTGGACGGCATTTTTAAGAGGAACATTCCAAAATACAATCATGTCACACATGTATTCCAACGCTCTGGTACATGTACAATGTGCATGTACATGTACCCAATGGCACTTATTATTTTGTACCTGTACAGCAATGGAATATAACACTTCTAAGAAGTACATACATCTATGTATGAGGACCGGGGCTCTTTGACACTGAAACCATCAATGATCTTTGAATCGTGCGATATCCATTTTGAAAGATGGATGACCATGTATACCACTTCACACAGTATTTCTTAAATTTTGTCTGCTTTTTATGCTTGTAATTTTTTTTTTAGATTACTGCATAGATGTGCATGTATTTATTCCAGAATATATCAAATTCCTGTTGACGTTTGATATGGTCATGTGCTGTCTTGAAATTGTTGTTTTCCTACATTGTACGTTGACATCACTAGCATACTTCGAGAAAATAATTTGCGTGCATGAACTGTACACTGTACATATATAAACATATGTATAATGTGTAGTCTGTAATGTGTCAACAAATGCGTTACTGATATTCCTAAATTTTCTGAGCATCTACAATTGTATCTAAAATTCAGCTGAATAAACAAACTGTGAAGTACATATACATGTACTCCTTGTCATCAGTTCAAAGAAAAAATAAATCCAAGCATACAAGTATATCTACATGTAAGCTGAAATGAATGAGAGCTTCAAGGATTAACCATAAAATGGGACATTGTGACTACTAGGACAATTTGCAGATGTACAATGTATATGAGCACCTGTATATCTAGGCCATTAGGTAGATTGAGACATTAAGGTGTGTATGGAGAACATCGCTTGCATTGTTGCATGTTCACCATGTGTGCATATTGGAGATTAAAATTTTTTTATCCGTGGGGAATAAATATTGATGCATGTAGTTACATTCTACTTCAATTTTGAATTCTCAAATGAGAAGGTACGTGTACATGGCCCCTATGGGCACAGCAGCACAGACGTAAAAGACTTTCTATTTGTATGAACTTGCGACTGCATTCACTCATTACTGAGCGTTGAATACTATACATTTGGTTGGAAATTAGTATTGATCAGTATCAGTTCAACTATATTTGGATACAGTTCACCTGTAAGAAATAAAATAAAAGAAAGTTAATGCAGACTCAAAGTTCATGCTGGATTTCTCTTTGAATATATTATTTAATAATAATTATAAAAATCTTAAATTTCAGAAAACAAGTTGTGATCTCAGTTTGTGGGTACAAATTTAATCTCCAACTGATTCATAAGGATCCATCTTCAATGAAATCCTAGTTATTTATGTGCACTTTTAATTAGTGGGCTGCAATTTTAAGTTCCGTTTGTCAAACATAGCTAGGTCAGTGGGCAGGAGAATTATCTAGAATAATGATATGCTCAAGTGATTTGACAGAAATGATAAATGGATACAGAAGGCGTGATGTGAGAGTGCAGGTAGCGAATGCTCGGAAATTCATTTTTTTATTCCTCAGTGGAGGAATTGTCTCAGCTGCAACCCTAGTCATTTTGGCAGGATTCAAAGGAATCAAATCAAATTACAATTCAATCAAATTAATAATACAGTGCACTATGTCTGACCCACATCACATTATTTTGTTTCAGGCCTTCCAATTTTTTACGAGTGTACTCTCTTTCCCACCCCCTCACTTGTTGGTATTCCACCCGTCCTACACAGTTTTTGGTAAGGGGAATGGGCCATTTAATCATCCCCCTACTTTCGGTGGTACATAACAAAAATTGCTTATTTCAGGTCATTTTGTTTGCTTTAAATATCCAACAGACATGGTTTTGAGAACAAAAAATCAAATGTGTCATTTTTATTTAGGGTCTGCTCAAAAGCATGCATATACACATTTTTATCATAATGTCTCCTGGTGTAAATAAAATGTGTCATCAATTCCCACCCCCCCCCCCNTTCCCCCCCCCCCCCCATTGCCACAGCCCGGTACTTTGGAACTAACATGATTAAGATCATCCTTCGCCTGCCGTCGACATGGAGAAAGAATGTCAATTGAGGGCGCCCTTAAAGCTTCGTCATCGCGACCCGTTTTGGCATGTGGAGATGGCGCCTCAATTCACTTATCCAGCAAATTTTCACCCAATAGTAACTGTAAGTTCCACTTCGACTTAAGATTTAAGTCCAAATGTGTCATGGAAAATTTCTCGTTCTGCTGCAGATGATGTTGGACCGTGCGAATTCGCCGTAAATTTAAATCAGAAAATCGACTTCAATCTCAGCCGGGTCAGTGCTACATGTAGGTGGTATTGCAAGCCCCACTACCGTACCTGGCACTAGTCATGCTCTGATGCTAGTATGGCACGGACTCTCGCTACCACTCCATCCTTAGCCACACATCCGTATGTATACGCAATTTGCGTGTCGGCGTAGACATATCTAAACTGCTGCCCAAGTTTTTGAAGAGGCCATTGGTACAAATGTACATGTACATGTTTTTATCTATTGCTCAGTCCGTGTATTAGATATGTCTTGACATGGAAGAGCCATCAAGACGATGAGGGGGCAAATGACGTAATGTTCAACTACCTTATTTTAAAGATGGCGACTGTAAGGGCAAGCCCGTGAGATTGAATGGGTGAAGGCAAAAAGACTGGAAAATACCAGAACAACATGAGTGAAATCATTCAATAAATCATTAAATGGCGCTAAGAAAGCGGAGAGGCTAAGAATCATCTCTGTGTGCAAAAAATATTGCACTTGCAATTAGAAGAGGGTGCGCCGAAATTTTTCACTTCGCTGACAAGCAAATTGCGTATACTGATTTGTGGCTAAGGATGTAGCGGTAGCGAGAGTCCCTGCCACACTAGTGGGGCTAGGTCATTGCCAGCAGATATCCGTAGGGCCTAGGCCTACATGTGATATGCCGGTCTCTTCATGTGCGCGGTTATCAACTAATGATGATCATGGTTCTGCCACCGGCGTGGTTATGGCAGAGAACTAAGTCAATACTAGTACAATACCATGACTACTACATGTAGTACTCTGTGTGACTTAAAGATAATGTTTTATGTTACGCCCCAACTAAAGCATCTGTCCCAAGTATAGTTGGGCCAGCCCAACTACAGTGACACCAGGTCCAGTGTGCACAGGTCAGGGACCAAACCACAATCTAGCAACGTCCCTAGTTTCTGCTTATGTCACTTGTTCAAGCAGCAGTGACATCATTTTTATCAGGTCACGTGATATGATGGATCATATAATTTTCCTCGCACGATTTTGGGAAAATAACGAGATTTGAAGTGCCGGCAGCCAACATGGCAGTATTTTGGAAAATCGCCATGGTAAACATAAAATTTGCCACGGTGAATCGATGGAGATTTTTAATGCCAACATTTTCATTCATAAAATAAACTGTGGCAAAGTTTTATGTTTTTGCGTAAACATTTTCATCAGCAGAATTGGACTCGCCTGCCCAACAAATTTGACACATCAGTGCAGGATGCGACCGAAAAATCTCCTTGATCCTTTTTTATAGATACCAAATGAAAGGAAAGTTTCATTGAGATCTGGGGTAGCATGTTTCCTGTAAATTTGATCAATCAGGAATTTGTATTGAAGTTTTTGGCTGATAAAGAGATCAATGTCATGTACAAACCTTGACCTAAAAAAATATTTCAAAAATTATGTCATCGGTGCACAAACGAGCGGCATATGCGTAGTCTGGCATTGTCGCTAGATTGTGGTTGGGTCCCCGACCTGATGCATGTCTCCGTATGTATGTATCATTGTCCCCAGCAAGGTCATTTTGTTATACAATGTTATCATGGTCATGCACGTCATAGTATAGATGAAGTGCCATATTTTAGATGAATGTGTCAAGTGTGAAATGCATAAACTTTGGAAGTTTGAGAAATTTCCAATAGGAACTGGCAGACAATAGGCCCCTTGGGTCAACTGCTGCACTATAGTTAGGACTGTGCTAACTATAGTTGGGACAGATGCTATAGTCTGATAGTTTTTCAAAATCGATCTTTTCATTAGTTGTCCAGAAGGCTTTTGGTCCTGAATTTCAAAACATGAAATACTATGTGATAACTAAAGGTTCCACTGCTGACTGCAGGGGTTAAGGTTATCATATGTGGAACTCATTATTTCAATTAAACACAAAAGTTGCTTCCAGGTAAGTCCAGTTACCTGTACCTGTATGATGAAATACACACAAACTCTAGTATAGATAAACTGTTTATGCAAATTTCAATGATAAAACAAGATGATCAAAGATCATTGTCTTTGATTCTTCAATTGGGATAAAACTCTTGCACTTGCTTATTCCTGGCATGCCTTATGTAACATTTCAAAACTTTATTGAATGAGTACACATCTTTGGTGTTCCAATTTGGGCATGTACATCAGGAACATGTAAATATCGATTTGTGTATAAAAGAGAAACATTATAAACATTTCCTAATTCTGGTTGTGTGGATAAATTATGTTTTAAAGGCATCAATATATTAAATTCAGCCATTTATTCCTCTCAGATACCCAAAAGAATTTAGGGTTTCTTTAACATGAATGATGTCATGAAAATGATTTTTGATTTTTTAAAGCAATTTAAATCATGATTTAAATCGTAATTTAAATCATTTGATGTAAATTGAACAACCTTGGTCACAACTACACAGTGCAGTGCATATTGTGTAATGGTGTCAGCTTAGGTTGCACAATGAAAACCAGATGCCGTCCACCCGCCACCGGAAATGGTCAAACCAAAATGCGGAGCAAGCTTGGCCATTATGCAGCCCGATGCATGCGAAATGTGATAAACACAAACGGCTTGAACGATGCGATCATTGTCGGGTAGAAATTGGAGATTAATAAGTAGAATGTGGCATACATTTATTTCAACAAATACTTGGTCTCATGGTCTGAGAACCTCCATTACACCATTTTAAGAGCTATAAGTTCCCACCCGTGCTCTCACGGAAAACATTTATTGAAAAAGCGGAGTCAGCGTTACCAGATCACCACCGCAAAAACTGGATTAAAAAAACACATAGTGTTGGGATACCATGTAAACAAGTCGCATGTACATGTACATGTAGTAGTGACTTAAGAGACCTCTAGGTAGTATGGCAAGTGCATGGCAGCTGGGAAAGAATTCCATATGGATGTCACTAATTTTCCATCACGTCCATTCTCACTGTCGGAGGTTGTTCCATTTATTGCACTCACATCTGGGCAAGGGGCAACTCTCCTGTCATTTGGTATGGGGATTTTGTCTTATTTTTGCTTAAAATAACTGAAACCTTTTAGGTAGAGTTTGGGAAATATTCATAGCGTATGAACAGTGAAATTTCAGGCATGTACATTTGGCGTGAAAGGTTAGGAGTTTTGTCAATTCAGATTTTCCCCATACATTTACATGTAGATGACAACACTAATTTTGCCCCTTTGAGTCCCAAGTGTGAAATATGGAACATCCACCAATGGACCAATCAGAGAAAAGAACCCAGACTCAGTGATGTCATTTCGACTGTGAGAATGTATTGACCTACAGTATCCCCATCTGAAGGAATTGAAATGACCAAGGAGTCAAATGTACAGTTTGTAGGCGTAGAAATATTGAGGTAGGCTATTTACGTGTACATGCACATGTACTTAGAAAACCCTTAAAAAGTTTTTAGATCAGTCCCATGGGGCATGTAGGATTAGTGCACATGGTGGTCAAGCGGCGTCAATTTATGGAATTCTTTCCGTCCGCTGTCCCAACTTTCACCACGACCCAGTTGGGGCATGCCCTTGATTTGAAAGAACATGAAGAAACACACATCCATTTATGTTGGGCACGATTAAAGTCTGTTACTATATAGTCACTTGGTCCCTAATTTTGTCACCCATTGTCAAGTGAATTGGTTTTCACAGTAAGCAGCAAAATAAGGGACCTGGCAACTATACGGTCATATAATAGTAACTGCAAATCAGAAAAGGCGATTGACTAATGGATGAAGTATTGACAAATATTTGTCATGCAAGAAGATTGACATATTGCACAATGATCAAGCAGTCATTCATGCCCCACATGTATATACATGTTGGGCATGAATGACTGCTTGATCATATAAAGCTTTAACTGCTTTATATATAAAGCCTAATGTTCCCTTTGAGGCTGATTTTGAAGGAAAGCGTTACATGTATACATTTTAGGACTCTAAATTTGTTTTACTTCACTTACACCAAAAGTGTTTAAAAAGGTTACCTTTATATTTCTTTGTTTTGGGGTAGGCTTTATTAAGAAAGGGGGCTCAGCTTCAATCATGTCAATACATGAAGAGAGACAAGAGCAACCTCTCTGGCCCCTTTTTAAACTTCATGGTGTTTATGAAACTGACAAGTCATGGAGGTGGGATGCAAAACTCTTTCAATCAAGAATGTGTTGGGCACAATCACGTCATTGCACTGTACTGTTAGTCAATCATGGACAAAATCGTGGACTTTTGAAGTTTGTGACCCTTTTCAAAGCAGTCTTCCATGAACTAGAAAATGTGATTAATTAACAGTGGCAGGATTGGTAGATTTCTTACAGGATTGATTTATAGTGCTGTGCAGTTCTGCAGCTGCACAGATTTATTCCATCTTCCAACTGCGCTCCAAACTCCTACACCTTGCATTTATGTCACTGTCAGTATTGAGGTTCATTTGAAATTCGATTTTGGGTCTGTTTAGTTACTCATCTTTGGAAATCTGGAGCTAAACATTGCATCAACGTGTACCAGGAGAGTTAAACGAGATGTTGTGGTAGCATTGTACCAAGTATACATGTATGCACCCTTCATCTTTTGACTACATGAATATGTAAACCAATTTGGCCATAAGATAACCGCTCATCAACAGTAAACATTGGTCACGTGATACTTTAAAATTGACCAGATTACTCTCAAGTACAGATGTGACTCCTGCAACTCTGCTATGTAGAGTGCTGCACATACCAGGACCAATCTTGGACTTGGCTAACCATGGCCGACAAGGACAGCGGCAAGGAGAAGGAGTGTCCGGCCGAATCTCCTGCCCCCTCCCCAATTCCAGTCATCACCGAGGAAGAGAAGGAGATGGCATCTGTCGCTAGCACTGACTTTGAGGCTGGCCAGTATGCCCCCTGCCTGGAAAAGCTGCATGCGTTGTCCAAACTGAGGGGCAGTGATGTCAAAGTCGGCCACAACCTGATGGTGGCCAAGTTCTACCAGTCGGGCTGCACTCGGAATGACGACCTGCGCAAGGCACTGGGCCAGGTCTGCACTCAGGCCCAGGTGAACCTGAGTGGAGTTGACTCATTGGAAGACACAGACCATGCTATTCTTTTCTTCAATCACGCCATCATCCTGTACCACATGAGACAGCACCATGAAGCTATCCAAATTCTGGAAAAGCTCTTCCAAATCATTGAGCCCCTCGGTGAGTGAGGATCTCTTTTCTCAGATGTTAACTTTTTCATTCCTTTAAATCCCAATTTAAATGTCTTTGTTTTGATTGAAGTATTAATCCTTGAAAGTCCAACTGGACCAGCCAGTGGCACAAACGTAGTGTAACATTGCACCGTGTGTGAGCTCTTTGCCACAAGTTTGTGGTGTTACTGGGCAATATAGTCATGGTTGATTTCACTAGAAGTTGCTTAGTCTGCAACATTTTGTTTATTTTAGCATATTAATCAGAGACAGTTATAATATGAAAGTTGCTCCTATGGAATTTTACAGCAGTCATTAAACAGTCGTTGGATAAGGTCTGCCTGCTGTCTTAAAAAACTGTTTGTCTTTGTCAGAACCAGACATCAAATCTTGAAATTCTCTCACAACCAAACAGGCATTCATTACCCCTAAGATCCACAGTTTCCAGTCTGCTCAGATGTAACTCATCTCTGACTCATCCTCTTTTCTTTTTCTCTTTCACCCACAGAAGAAAACCTCGCTCACAAGATCCTCTTGTTGCTGATTGAGACCTACCTGTGCACTTATCAACCTGAGAAAGCCTTAGGCATCTTAGCTTACTTGGAGAAGCTTCTCTTCTCTACGGAATCCTCCGGCAACAAAGGAGGATCGGAATCAAGTGTAAGTTCTTTGAAGTTGAAACATTCTTGGTGAAGTGATTCAGCACTAGGGTGAAAATACATTTGACTTGAGGGACATTACCTATACTCACTAAATTATCCTTCAAGAAATTTTTCCCAATCTTTCAAATTCACTTGTGTCAAGAATCACAATGCTTCATGTCAGAATTATAAAATTATTTCAGCAAATTTGCAAGTAACCTGTAAAAGTTGTAATAAAACAGTTTCCAACAAAATGCAATAGATTTGTGAGTCTACAGTGGCCAGAGTTTAATAGTCCACTGTTCATATATACACGTGGATCTTCACATCAGTTTTATAAAGTCAGTTAAATTTGTTATGTCTCTCAACTATGTTTTTTCTGATGTTAAGAATAAAGACAACAAGGACTCAAACACAGAGGAATCGAACATTGACCCTGAGAAATACCGGCCAACTTTGCATCTGGTAAGTAAGACTTTCCTCTCGGTAAGGTCAAACAGGTTAGCAAAAAAAGGTTATCTTGTCCAGCAACCATTTCTGCACCGGCGTTCTAGCCAGGATGAAATTAAAGGATAGGGGCATCTGCCCGACCTGCCGGATGCAGGGGGGAGGGGTTAATGGATATTATTTGACACCCAAGGGCACTGTTTAACATTGATTACATTAAATATAACAGCTTTGTTTTAAGTTCCCATTACCTCCATTCAGTCACTGTAAAAAGCAGTTATCAGTTTGAGACAGACTTCTACCCTTTTTCTCTCCTTTTTGGGGGAGGGGGGCTTCACTTTGTGTTTTTGTTGTGCTTTTGCTACGGAAAGGGGCAAATGTCTAATAAACTGTGGAACATCTGATCCATGTTTCATTACTGCACAATCGTATTTCACATGTGCTTGTTCTTGTATGAGAAGCTGCATGGTACAAAATTGTTTTAATGTGCATCAATGAAAAATAACTACAAAACAAGCTTATCAGGCCTACACGGAACACCTCAGTTTTCATTTCATTTTGAAAAACTTCAATCTGAATAGTTTCTTGAGGTTTTAACTCAACATGTGTGATTATTCTACGTGTACAAATATAGGCATGGCTACTTATAAATTAACTTAATGCACCTAGGCCCATGCGATCGTTTGTACTTTCTTGCTGGGTTCTGAAACTTCTGTCTAAAAGAATATAATTTTTGTTAACTTTCACCCATGCTTTGTTGCATCCTCCAAAACGTTTCTGTGATTACCTCAAGAAAATGCCCCATGCTTCATGGACAGACGACCCACTGCAGTTGCAATGTACTATACACCCCAAGGAATATCAGACTAATTCCTGTTTTTTTCCAATGGTGCCCTCAAATGCTTCCATTTGGACTCTCAGCTGATAAAATTTGGTATTCTCCAGTGCATGGAAGGTATTGTCATGTCCAAATGACTGGAAAAAAAACCTTCTCTGAGTTTTGTAGGGAGCAATCACCATTCTACTCTAGGTATTCTTTAGCATAAGAGTTTCTGGACCTTCTCTTTTGCTTGCTTTAGCTTGTTAGAATTTGTCCCATTAATTCCTCCTTTATTTTTTCATTGCAGTTAAAAACTAGATGCTACCTGCAGATGAAACATGTGAAAGTCTGCAAACGTGAGATTAAGACAGTCATGAACTCAGCTGGACCGGTGAGAACAAAGTAGATCGGCAAATGCTTAGAAGCCACGACTTTTGAATCTTTGTTGGCTCCCAGTCTTTAGAAGCAAACCATCAACTTGCATGTTTCTGTGCCATATTTCAGTGTGCGGTCTCCTTGTTCCTCAAGAGCAATTTCGAATACATCCGTCAGAATTACCGCAAGGCTATCAAGCTGCTGAACAGTGCCACGCCCACAGCCGACTCCCTCAAGACGGGCCAGGTCATTCCAGTCATGTACTTCAACAACCTGGCCATTATTCACTTTTACATGGGAAAGTATCACTTAGCCGCCTACTACGGACGTCGTGCCTTGCAGGAGAATGCTAATGCCATTGCTGAGTTGCCAAAGAGAAAAGGTAAGATTTTTCTCTCTTTTTTATGTTTCTCTTTCCTGAGAATCATCACAATCCTGAAAAATTGCCCTTACCCTAACTTTGGAGCAATTCCAGGCTTCAAGGAACCTTTCTGATTTTTCTAAAAAAGCAAAAGCTGTTGCTTTTTTACTTTACCTTTCAAAGAGCATTGAGCCTTACATAAACTAACTCAGCTCTTTGCTAATACTGTAAAAACCCTTATTAACTTTAAGGATCAAGAAGGTTGTAGTGTCCCTAAGGAGGCATGCATTGACTTAATCCCTCCCCTCACCCTCCCATTGGTTCCTCAGGTCAGTCTCTGAACAATCGTCACATCAAGACGCTCGGGATGAACCGTCGCTACGAGCTCCTGTACAATGTGGGCATACAGCTTCTGCATGAAGGGCGCCCTCTAGCAGCCTTTGAGTGCCTGACAGAAGCCATACAGGTGTACCCGACCAACCCGAGGTTGTGGCTGAGACTGGCCGAGTGTTGCATCGCAGCCAACGCACTACCTCAGGTCAGGCGGCACTAACCTCCTCTCTCCAGTTTGTGTCTTTTTCTGTTCGGCATTTGGGATTCAACACATTTGCCATCAGCTCTCTGAATCTTGTGCTGCATTTGCCTTGTCCATCCATTCGTGCATCCAAAACAATTTTCCTTTTATGATTGAGAAAGACTCGACGTATCAACTTCAAATCTGGTGAGTTGGTCTTGGCATTCTCCAGAAGCCTGTCCGGTTCGTAAGTCTGACGTCGCATCAGTTTAAATCACGCCCACTGCACGTAAAATTACGTGGAACCCTGGAACTGGAAGTTAATGTGCAACCGTAGGGTACGTCCTATGGGAGCCTGCAATCAGCGGAGTGTCTGCATGTATGATGAAGTCACTTACGAACTGGATTGATTTTAATGTAGTTGGTCAAGGATCAAGGCCATTATTTTCATAACAAAGGAAATAGTTTTTCCTGATGGAGGCATTATTTTGTGTTAAAGTCATATGTATAAGTATGAGTTGACAGAACATCGGTGTTCAACACGCCATTCATGTTCTTTTACAACCTAGAACTCAGAGGCTGAAGGGAAGAGCTCGTTGGATTCCACTAGACGAGGCATCGTGCGTAACGTGATAGGTTCTGGCCCTCATCGCAAAGTGATTTTATCCCCTGGATCCTCTGAGTATAAATACAGGTGAGAAATAATTTCTGCCTTGTCATAATTTCAAATAAACATTATGAAATTATAAAGCATCTGATCAAATACTTTTGTACTCTTTGCCTGAAAGAAAGGACTTTGTCTGCATATTGAATAAAGTAAGAATTTCTGTTTTGTTTTTTCGAATAGGGAAATCATCAATACTGCATATTCCTCCTTTCATATGCATGTAGTTAGTAGCAATGTTGCACAATTTCAGTGTAGAGTAGGTTTTGAAGGAATCAGTATGATATCAGTTTCCACAAAAGTGCTAGAACCTCTTCCAATCATTCTTAATAATAGCCGCTACTTCTTAAGCATTCTTAAAACACGCACACAAGTATTGAATACCATTGTTGTGTGCCGCAATAGAATGCAAAATTATCACACGTGGATATCCAATGTGCCTGGGTGTTAACTTAAACCATGGTGCAATTTCACCCCACGGACATTTCTTTTCAAATCCCAACAAGATTTATTAGCTCCAGTAAGATGTAAAGTATAAAAGTATGTAAGGTAAGTTGTATTAACTGCTTCAAAATCATTCGTAATTCGCAAAGGGTTATAATAACCACAGGAATGAGAATTTGTAATAGTTTATGTTAAGCATCTGTCACAATATTGTAATTTTTTAATGTTAAAGTGCATTTTGTTGCTGAAAATTATTTCCATTCTGTCAAAACATTTAACTTTCTTCACAGTCAAATACCCAAGCAGTCTTACTTGACCTTTTGTATGTTTGTTAGTGATGGCCAATCAGCAGCATTTCCAGCACCAACGTTAGAATTTGCCTCTCTGTGTCTCTCCAATGCCCTGTCTCTTCTCCCTGAAGAGACTACACCCTCCACATTAAGTAGGATAACATCGCGAGGAAGCGTGGGTAGCGACTCCTCAGAAGTCGCAGACACAATCAGGTAAATTTCTAACTTTTATTATTCAATTAGTGCCGGATAAACCTGTCACTTTGTTTTATTTGTGTTGTATTTTTTTACAAAAGAACGAGAGAAAGGTTTAAGTTCACAGAGAGAAAAAGAATTTCTTCTGAGCTTGTGGTTTCAACGCTATCCTTGTCACAACATTTTGAAATGTTAAAAAATATACTGTTACTTTCCCTTGATTGGGAAAAGGAGATGGACTTGTTTTATACATATTGATGCTTTGTACATATCAATACAGCAATTATAATTTCATGTGTATGAAATGAGCCTAGCAGGAGGTTAAAGTTTATTTTTATTTTTAAGGTTTATTCTTACTTGGTCTTTAGCTTGGAAACACTTCCTAATTTTCGGTGTTTTCCCAGCAGCAATAAGCAAACCAGCATCAGCAATCCCACCGCACCCCTGGGCCAGTCCGTCAAACCGACTGACATCGTTTGCCTGCGTTGCTCCATCTTGGCCAGCAGCAGCTATGTGGCCCTGTCATTGGGTGACAACGTCCATGCGTTGGAGTACGCCAGGTTGCTGCTGGAGCAAACCAGGCTGCCGGGATCGCTCAGGTAGGAATGAATCACAGCAGGAAAGAGGTTGGTTTAGTTCTCTTCATCCGGGGTTTTCTCTTTCCTGGATGCCATACTAGTTGTATGAGTCTTAAAACACCACTGTGCCTTATCTAATTCCTGGATGTAGAATTAAGACACAATAAGCAACATCATTTTTGGACCAGTCTTTTTTGGGCAAAAGGGTTCACCTGAAAAGCTCAAACTTGTTGCCAAAATATAATTTATTAACTTATGTAAACAAATGGTCTGTGTTTTAGATAAAAATAACAGTATTTTCAGAGCTGTGGTTTAGGTTTGGTTGAGGAAGTTACATTCTCATTGCCAAAGAGTCAAGAAAAGTCTATGCAAATTTTTCTCTCACATCTTTAAACATTTGTTTCACAGTAACATTTCACTTCATAGAATCATAAAATCACTCATAGGATGAACAACCAAGAGACGTGATGACAAACTAGGCACAAATTGAAAGAAGGTGTAGAAGCGTGGATTGCACACAAGTCGATGATGCATTGTCTTTTTGGTTTTCTGTTTTATCCAGGTTCCTGGGCCACCTGTATGCTGCTGAAGCCTTAATTAACATGGACCAGATAGTTGAGGCAATCCAACACCTGGCCCCAGACTCTGTATGTGATGTGTCCGTTGTGCTTCCAGTTCTACCTGAACAAGGTCAGTCTGCAGCCTAGTGATGGCATTATACTTGCAATCCTAGAATCCCGAGTTCAACCTGGTTCTGAAGATATAACGAAGTACGGTAGAAATTTAGCCTACCAAACTGTTAGACAAATTGAAATCAACTGGAATGCCTCTTGTCATGCTTTGCTGATAAACAATAATACAATGGGATTTTCTGCCATTGTGACCTTTGACCTAGGCGATAAACAAGGGGATAAATCAGAGGCCGGTCCCGGGGACATCCAGGAGAGCACGGAGGGTCACATTGCCGTGTCCAAGCACTACCCAGCTTCCGTGCAGGTTGCCAGGGCAACCATGTTGCTCAACCTAGCGTGTGCGCATTCACTGCGGAGTGAATGGGACAAGGCCAAGAAATGCCTCAAGCAGGTAGGAAAACTGGGCCTGACATGGAGACCTGTCATCATACGTGTATGTGCCATCATTCATGTACGTCAGGACAGGCAGTGACCTCTAACGAAAATAATGCACAGTCCAGACAGGACACCTGACCAACATTAGCACCTGACCTGTCCTTGTACATTTTTCTGAAGATTGGCAATGCCCTGTGCGCATCTGAAATTAAACTATGCAATCTGAAGATAAAAATTATGAATTTGCTTGTTAATGAGGTTTGTAGCATCTTCTCGTCTCTTCAAGGCTGATAAGCTCTACTGGTGCTGTTATATGTGCTGCACTTCGCATACTTCTAGTCTCATTTTCACAGCCATTGATACCCACCATTTCTTTGTTTACTCCATGACAGATGTGCAGCATTTTACCTCCCAGTGAGATCCCAGAGCAAGCCCTCTTCCTTGGCATATACATTGAGCTGCAGACAGGTATTTTCTGCCATTCACTGCCATCAAGTTTAGGTTTTCCTGATCAGCAATGGGACACTGTCCTCTCTCAGCACGGTGTCCAGCTTCAAACCAGAAAGCGACTCAGAACAGAACGTTAGTTGCTGGCGCATGGGATGGAATGAGGTAGTTGATTCAAATGACTGATTTACGCATTCACAATAATGAGACGGTGATGCTTAAATGTAAATCTCCCTGCATCTGTACATTTGGCAGAGAAACCTTAAGTGTAGGAAATACAGAAAGACTACTCGGAACTGAGACATTTGGGAAAATTTGAGCCCTGCAGGTTGCTAGCATACCCTGTAATATGCAACAGATGAAGGAAGACAGAGTAAGATTCCAGTTATGAGTAGTGAGCCCCGTACTTTACTCTTTGAGAAAAACCCCGCATCAACTAGGCACTGATAAACAAATCACTAAGTGCACTGAACAGGATTTGTACCAGGGTCCCAAAGAGAATATGGTGAGAAGAGTATGAATGTATTAATCAAACAAACCCTCATTTTCGTGGTAATGTAACATTTCCCATTGATAGGCAGTCACCAGATGGCACTGCACATGGTTAAGAAGCAACAGCTCATCCCATACCTCAAGCCGTCTCAGTCCCGCCCGCTGCCCATCGGCACCATGGCAGCCTTCAACAATGCCTCCCCATCACCGCAGGGGGTCTTTAGTTCCGGAACCGCCAGCAAAGCTGGGCGGAGTAAGGATCCATGGCAGAAATAGTCAGAGACGGTGATGTAACTTTTGTGTAGTGTTGCCAGGCCTTTCAGTGACTTTACAGAGCTATACCACAGTCATCATTTTGTAGGATGGATCCATCCACAGTTTTTATTATTCTGCATCCGATTGCATTAAGGAGCATCAGTTTCAGGCATTCATGCACTTTGCGTAACAGCGTTTAGCTTGTTGTTAACAGCCTTTCTTGTTCTACCATCAAGTAAGAAAAGCACAGAGGTGATGTTGAGAAATGAAATTTTAAATCCCCAGATTGTGCTGCATAGATACTGGCATTGACTTCATTTGCAAAAATTGATAATTGATCTGTTGAAATAACCCACAACATAGCCCTGTGATAAAATACATGTAGCTACCTGACACAGGCCTCTTCAAGAGGGGAAAAAAATGCTTACTTTAGTCGGTTTGAGCATTTTTGAAAGATTTCCCGAGATTTAGGCTTTACCTATGTACATGCAGGTCATTGGAAAACAATCTTGCTGAAGACAGAGGTTTGTTAAAATTATGGCCAGTCATGGATGTGAAATTATCTACATCCTTAATACGAACCCTGGTGAACCAGTAAAGATCAATTGGCACGTTTCTTGGAAAAGAAAGTAGGGTCAAAAAGGGATTGTGGATTTAAAGTTATGACAAGGGACTCTCTTCCTCTAGAATAGGTTATTTTCCATGCATTCCCAACAAAAATTACATCTGGAAATTTTTATTGCTTGCGGGGGGGTTCCAAGTGGCCAATATCAGAATTTACCATCAAAACAAATTTCCGCTTTAAACAGCCATGGTAATTAGATTGACCTCTTGTCCTACAGAATGTATGATTTTCACCGCCAAGTTTGCTGAAACTTTGTACAAAATGTAGGATAAAAGCTGGTTGCCACCAGCTAATGTTTATATTACATATGTATAAATTCTGCATTGTAATAACTTGAGGAATGCAATTTTGAATTAGAAGGGTGAGCATAGGTATCCTGTCATTGTATTGGTACTACAGTCAAATTCCCAAATTTGAAATCTTCCCTCTGCTAGTTGTTTGCATTTAGAACAAAGGAGTCATCTTTCTGTGGAGGTGGTGGGTATTATTTGTGAACACTGTGCATTCCAAGAACAAACAAGCAGTGTTTCTAGCATGTTGCACACATCTCTTAGATTATCTGGATAAAGACAGTGATAGTTCAAAGTTGTGCAAACAACCAATTTAACCATTTTCAGTTACTTCTAGATTAATCAATTTTAGACAAAAAAACTAGAGCTTCTTCACAATTAAATCTGCTAGTTTAGAGCAAGGTTTGATTACAATGGACAGGCCTCATCAAGGCAATGTAAAGATTTGAAATTGTTGAATTAACTGAATAGAAACCTCTGCGGGTACGTTTGGAATAAAATATTCAATTATCCTTCGATGAGGCGTCAAACTGCGACAGTTCTTATGTGTGTGAAATTAGGATGTCACTGAAGCCCATTTTATCTGAGATCACATTATTCCAAAACACCCTCCTGTTATGTCAGACATAATTTCATGTGGCTCTAAAAAAGGCTAATGTCAGCCTTGGAGCTAATGAAATACAGGAAACAAGTTAAAGTAGATGTTATAGGCACAGTTTTAGCAGAGTCTGAACCCAGGGACAGAGCAGTGGTGTAACCAGGGTGAAAGTTCTAGGAGGGTGGGAGGGGCGACTAGAGCGCCCACCCATCATTTTCAAGCGAGCGCTGAAAACTAATGAACTGCATCTTGAGTAGTTCTTAATCCCAAGATTTCAAATGGGGGTTGGGCGCTTACCCTTTACAAGGGGTGAAATGTACAGGTCTTGCCCACCATCTCCATTAACCCCTCCCTACCAATCCATCCATTTATCCACTTAATAAGTGTATAATAAAATGTTTCAATGAGTCATTTTTGAAAAAGGGGTTTGAGCTAGTTGGTTCCTGTGTAATTTTCAGGTTGAAGGTTTTCCCATGTTTGGTTATTGAAAGACCACACATAGGAAAAAGTCAGTTGTATGTTCAAATAACTTGTTTAATTTTTTTAACAATATTAAAAAAATTAATATATCACAAGATTTCAAACACGGAAGTATATAAAATGGCAAGGCAATTTAAAGTTAGTCATCAAAGAAAGCTGAAGAAACCTTAAACAAAACTGCTAAACTGCTCTGGCACAGATGATTCAATGGCACGCAAAAAGACGTCTAGCTAAAGAAGAGCTCAATTTCTGGTGGAAAATGTGTTTTCTGCCCAGTACAGAAACCGCTTTTCATCTTCACTGTTTACAGAGCATGATACAAACTTGACTGGGTGAAAGAGTGGGTGATGCACCTGCAAAGAGCAAGAACTTCAGTAGGTCCAGAAGCTTTCTGTAATGTTTAGATGCCCCATAGGAGTGAACCGTTCATTGCATGTATATGCAATATTTTGTGAAGTCAAGCGACACCTCTACTTTGGAACTCCAGACAGCAGCATGTAAGAATGATTTACTAAAAACAAATTAAGTTCCAGCTGGATTCCAGTGTGTAAGATACTTATGAAATAAAATTCCGTTAAAAAGAATTTTGCACACTGTAAATCATTAAGAACTGGAGATTTCTCACGCACATAATCTCCATTTTTTATCTGGATGCCAAACTGAGTGATACATCAAACGAAGGGCTCAGTTTGCTCCATTGCAAACTCATTTTATGGGATCTTGTCACCAGTGTAGTGTATTGTAAATTTTTCTGATTTGTTCCTCGCAGATTTTGGCTCAAACATTTTTGAAGCACCAGTTCCTGCTGAGCCACTGTTTGAAATTTGGCCCAGATTAAAATGACAGCATTTCACTTTTGTCAACAAAGAAGGCGAAGGGTAAAGCCAGCTGGGTATTACCCCTATCCCTTAGGGCAAAATACTCACTTTGAAACATGGGACAAAGTTACATTATGAGTTTGTAAAGGCACTGAATTGTTGAAGTTGTATATAAAGTGTACAAAAGCGGCTTTATAAAATGGGCTGTATCCAAGCACCCAAAACTGGTTCCAAAAATAGAAAAAGCAGTTGCCCATATTGTCTTTGCAAGGTTTTTCACTGAGCATCAAATCCGTGAGCCAAACACAGAATGGAGTGATACTGACACAACCTTTAAACCACCGGCGGTCGGGCCACTCCATCTTTGGCCTCCACACCTTCTTTGGTCACCTCAAAGGGTGTGTCAACCTCCTGTATACCACAGTCCCAGATGATTGCCTTCTTGAGAGGTCGGTCTAGCTCATCTGTCTCAACCGCCTCGATGGCCTTGACGACATCCATGCCTTCCAAGACCTTGGCGAAAACCGTGTGTTTACCGTCCAGCCATGGAGTCTTAACAGTTGTGATGAAGAATTGGCAGCCGTTGGTGTTCGGACCTGCCGCAAATGGGGGGGGGAAAAATGAGTTTCTTGTTTACAGAGCGTGTGTTGCAGAGCTAAAGATTTCAGTGCCTGTGCCTACTTAGGCAACTCATGCTACTCTAACAGTCCAACTAGCACCTGGAACTACTTTCCTGGCTGTATTCTCTGTGTATCAATGGTGCAGAGTAAAATAAGATATAACCAAAAGTCCATTATTCCATAGGATACGGAAGTCTGAGATATAATTTGTACTGGCTGGCTAGATATGAATTTAACTGTGTCCCATACAGCAGATGCTTATCAGAGATTAGTTACAAAAAGACAGAGAACAAAAGGTGGTAGCTAGCAGTGAATTGCTTTGAAAGACTAAAAGTCCAGGACACCTGGTGCCACTGGAACCCCAGCCTTCAAATTCTCTGACAAAGAAAGAATGATGACATAAGTAGCAGCTAAATGGGTGGTTGTCAGTGCGTTATACCTGTACTCATGCTTTCTACAGATCTTGCAGCAACAATTTTGAGGCAACCTAATTGTGTTAAGTGTTGTTTCTGTCATGTTAGTTATTTCACAGTTTATTTAATCTTCAGTTGATATGTTCTGTTTTTTTTCAGAGAGCTTTTTTTGTCAATGAATCCATTTGTTGACCAATCTGTTTATTGGCTATTGGAATTATTAGCATTAATTCTGTCAAAAAAGACAAGTCCTTCAATAGTCAAAACAAATAAAGGATCCTTATGACTACAACAGAAAACACAAGTTGGAAAAATAAATATCAATGGCATAACCATTTACCTGCACACTTTGCACTTCGAGGACAGTAAAATGCCCGTAGAACGAAATGAGCTCATTGACAAATCCACCTTATGCAAACGGGGACGATTGCAATGCATTTCAAATGAAAGAGTTATTTTTTGTCCCTGTTAAAAAAAGGAAAACCCAAAAAGAAACACCAGTTATGTGTTTGAGAAAGTGACAAAGTTCTATCCAATTCTTTTAAATAGATTTTTCTTTCAAAGTGTGTTCTTGCCAATGTCAGTCGCTCACAAACATCCAACCAATATTTTGTTGGAATGAACAAGGTCCATGCTAAAGAATCAGATAGTCAAACACATATAAAAAGAGCACTGTTAATACATGGTCATGTTTATAACAAGGACAATTTTAGGTCCCAAGTCTTTGTTTTTCTCTTTTCCATTACTGATAATAGAAGGTAACTTTTATAACAAGGTAATTTCTAAAGCCCCAAGGACTTTGTAATAACAGTGTTCCACTGTATACATGCTTCTGAACCCACCCCAAATAGTTTGCTTTTATCCAAAATGTAACAATGTGTAAAAGGTTATAGAACATACTGACTTATGGATTCCCCTCCAAAAAAGGCCATTCAATAGCTTTGCTAATTTTGTGGTCCATTACATGTACACCTCTTCTGTTGTTGGCCCCTTAAAAACTCCTTTTGAGCAAGACTTACTCTTGTTTCATGCCCACATTTGGAATGCCTTCCATGGCACACTTAACAGAAAGGACAATTACTAAATGAACTGCCTTGAAGGTGGACAATAGTTATATGTTGTTGGATGAGGGTTGGCATGGTAACTGGAGTTGGTTCCCCATCTTACCAGCATTGGCCATGCTGAGCCAGCCTGCTCCGTAGTGCTTCAAGTCAAAATTTTCATCCTCAAAGTACCGGCCATAGATACTGATGGATCCGCTGCCGTCCTTATTAGCAACATCACCACCTGTAATGACAGACAAAAAAGAAATCACTGTAGCTTTGAAGGAATTGAAATGGAAAAACAGGCCAACTCAAGCTTTCAAAGAATTGCAGCATTTTGTTATAGAAGAAACATTGAATGAACCTCAAGACATGATTTACAATAAGGTAGGCATCCAAGTAATTAGTGAATATTTTTTAAACACATTTTGTCCAAAGGTATTTTCCAGACAAAGGACCCTTCCTTTTTTGTACATGTGTCATTTAGGGAAAGAAGGCCAATGGTGCAAGGAAGCTGGACAGGATTGTACGTATTTCTGCTTCCATACTGCCACATATTTGCAGGAGATGAAGAATTCTTTTTTGAATGGGGCAGTCTTTACCTACCTTGAATCAAGAAGTCACTGATGACTCTGTGGAACTGTGTCCCTTTGTATGATTTTTCCTTGGTTTTGTCGGCATAATGGAGGAAATTCTTGACAGTTAAGGGAACGATATCGCCAAACAAACCAACAACTATACGTCCCACATCCTTGTTGTCAATCTGGATGTCAAAGTACACCTTGTCTGTGACAACTGCTGGTGCTTCTTTATCAGGCTGAGAAAAATCAAAATTAGTGGGTTTTTATTGTTTTAATCAAGCAGTGAGTAGATAAATTAATCAAATGAATACTATCAGTCACACATGGACTGTTCCAAGGAGATTTGTACAAAAGTTTTAACTCCCCCCACCATAAAAAGAAAGCCAAAAATTGCCAAACAACTCCATGGCTCCATATTTGATCCATTACTTTCCAGACATTTTATTTGCAATTCGAAAAGAATTCTGCTCTTCTAAAATGTCCTAATTTATAAAGAAAAGATCTTGTCTTGAGATTATACAGGAGTCATCCGTCAAAATGACTCCCGTTAAAAAACAAACGCAGCACAATACAAATGTTTTTCATCATCCAACATCTTGTTATTCCAATTATTCTGATACATGTACATGTACAATGTATCAACATTTCGTCGCAAATGATGCATTCTCGTACCATAACATTAATTCGCTTACCGGAGCAGCAACAGTAGGCCTAAATAGAACAAGCAAGCAACCGATCAAGGTAACAAGTAAATTATCCATGTTGAATCAAACTTGTAAGTTTTACGCCAGGAGATGATCGAGTTTCTTACTTCTCCAGCTTCACAGGAAATGAGACACTGGATCCACGTCTGGCCGTTTTGACTCTACGTGGCAGCCGGTTGCCAGATTCGAACCTTCCCAGGCCAGAAGTGCTCAGATTTCAATCGGCCACGTAGGCGAACTTCGCTGATTATAATATTCTTGACCTCGATAATGTAATGCAGCTGGGCTAAGAAATCATCGTGGGGGGGCTAATGATTTCCTCTTTTGGAACCAACAGCGCTAAGCGCGAATTTCAAGTTTATTTGCCAACTTTTGAGAGAGAAGGGGCCTATTGGAAACAGTGTATGCATGTATAGTCATTTCGGTCGGAGTTTTTTGCCCCAAACCTCAGCCTATTTTTTTCAATGACCCCATGGAAACATTTTTGCACAGAAAGTACTTATAATAATAAGTAGGCCACTTCTCCGTAAGTGAAGTGTTGTTAAATTACAACGGCCGCGAAGAAGAATTCAGGTCCATTTTCAACCAATTCGCGATTCACTGTTCATGCAAGAACAAAATCGAGACCGGGACTGTGTAACTTTTTATTTTAAAAAATGTCGTAGCGTGTGAATGCATGTACATGTACATGTACATGTACACTGTACATGCCGGCTTAACTGCCACATACCATCTACGGAAGCCAGATAGTGCCGACTGACTGTGGATTATTTTAAATATACAGTACACATGTTGTATGACGTACTTGCTAAGCATTCTTGTCACATGCGCGTGTGAACCCATCGTACATCACGGTGTGCGGTTCCATGGCGTGAACAAGGTGCGCATTGCGCAGCTTTCAAGGATAAAGGGTACACAAGCAAGCGCATGTGGTACTAGAAGGTACCCTCACACTCGATCAAGTGCTTCGCCCTTTCACTAGATCTGCCGAAACGAAACCTTCAAACCAAGCATGGTATGTGAAGATTTTTTCAAATTTTGTTTTGTTTCGTAGAATTTGAAGATACGCTCTCACGATTTGACCAAGGAGCGGGGAACTTGCTTCACGATTTGTCAAACCATGTGATTCTACCTCCATGGTCAAACTTGAATGCTGCCCCAGACTGCAAACAGTCAATGGACCAGGCACCAACATGAAAGTGATAAGTCGTTGCATTACACGATTCGATTATAATGTCTGTGTAGCGCATAGCTATGGAGAATAGCTTTTGACCATGAAAGAATAGAAATGGCTTTTTGTTCCTCCGCGAGATGACAAAGAATGTACGGGAGTCATGTATTTTGTCAACAATCTTGCTTTCCTGATCCTATCGTAAAGTCAGTATTTCTTTTTCACCTCATTACAGAGTGCCGAAACACTGAGCGAGGAGCAAATCGCCGGTATGTCTCATATTCTTTATCACTGACTGCTGAGGGGGGAGGGGCAAACGGAACCGTGCCCCCTCTCCCCAAAATGCATAAAATATATCTGTACAGAAAAATAAGAGAGAAACGATGTTTTCTTTTATTATGCCATTTTTATTTCCTTTGAGAGTGCCTTACCTTATAATAATGGTTGCCATTTTGCTCGCCTCTGTACTTGCTGAAACAGAATTCAAGGAGGCATTTTCGCTCTTTGACAAGGACGGTGACGGTACCATCACCACCAAGGAGCTGGGAACAGTTATGAGGTCACTTGGTCAAAACCCCACTGAGGCTGAGCTGCAGGACATGATAAACGAGGTTGACGCTGATGGTAAATCTTTCCAGTACAGTTGATATAAAAGTACGCTTATTTGGTTAATGTTTTCACAAATGATCACACCACAATTTCACGCTTCAAATAAATGTTTATTAAAAATCGCCAGGAAATGGGACGATCGATTTCCCCGAGTTTTTGACAATGATGGCTAGGAAGATGAAGGAAACAGATTCTGAAGAGGAGATCAGAGAAGCATTCAGAGTCTTCGATAAGGATGGCAACGGATACATCAGGTAAAGATGAAAATATCGAGCCAAGACTCAGTGATTCCATGCCTATGAAGTTAAGACATTGCGGAGAAAATAAGTTAATGGCATTTTTGTCTCTGCTTCCAGCGCTGCCGAGCTTCGTCACGTGATGACCAATCTTGGTGAAAAGTTGACGGATGAGGAAGTTGATGAGATGATTAGAGAGGCTGATGTTGATGGAGATGGACAAGTCAACTACGAAGGTAAAGTGTTTCTGTAGCTTATCAACTGATTGTGTAAAACGTGACCTCGTGCATTGAAAAAAATCAAAGTGATCACGGATTTGTGATTCTTTTCCACAGAATTTGTGAGTATGATGACATCATCAAAATAGAGGTGTCATCGAAATGTGCTGACGTGGACCCATGCTTTAGGAAGAGGCGTTTGAGTAGCTCTGAAAAAGCTCTCCTCTGCCCATTTCATCACATGGTTCATCATGACCCATACTGTAGCATTTCATCTTCATGGTCAAACTTATTCATTGCTATGACAACCTTGCTTCCAGCTCCAGTCGTAAACCTGCAAATCTCGTAGTGTAAGCATGGCTATACGGCTGATGGTGGATTCCCTCCACTTGGATTTCCCTAGTTAATACATATTATCTATCACTTCTCCAAAGGATCTTTTACAAAACAGAGTGGCTTTTTACAAAGACGAATATTGGCTGACCATCACGGTCAGTTTATTAACGGGGCGGTCGTCTGTCGAAAAGTTTGAGTTGCGTTGATGTGTATCAAGAACTTTGAGGAGGGTTTAATTCTCCTGTGCGGTACAGACGCTGAGAAAAGGCCATGTAAGCTCTTTATTTGCGACTTCATTTGCAAATCTGATCCACCATGCGATAAACGTTTCTCGTACAGGTACACTTCAGGATCTTGTGTACACGACTGAAGTATAGTATGGTGTTTAAAGGTGTCATTCAAAATGTGAGATAAAAAGACACTGGTTGTAACGAATGCGATGGGATAGTCACGTTGTGTTATGGAATGATGGATTGCCTCTCCCTAGGGCATAAACAGTATAAAACGCCCCTTTAAAAGCAGTGAGGTGTTCATTGGTGACAGCATTACTGGAGGACCAGACGATCAGAAGCTTTCTTCTTTCTTTGCATAACTTTTAGCTCGGATACATATAATTATTTGACATTTTAAAATTTCTTAGAAGCTATATTTTTAAAACTTTGAAATTTTTAGCAATATGAAATGTAATATTAGTCGTGGCACACTTGTGAGGAGAGAGACCTGGCGCCCTGGCTTACCAAGAGCCCTTCAGACAAATGCCGTGTGTTGCTGTTCCGCTGCAAATATGAACTTATCGAATCCAGTCAGTTTTATGCATGGTTCTTTATTGGTTGTTGCATCATGAAACAAAAGACTTTTTCATGCTCAAAAACGGTGTCCATCGGTTATGATGGAGCTTATTTTATATTAAGCTTATGTAGACCTGTATGATAGCTTACTTGTGCCGTGTTTGTTTTAATGTCACATCAGTATCACGAGGCTATTGTCGCTTCCAAGTTTAATGTTTAATTAATAAAAATAAAAGAGACAGACGCATTATCAAACAACAAAACAGTTAAGTCTAATTGACTCATTCGTGCGTTTACCACGGGAATTTCATTTTACACGATCAATATCATCAAATTTTAAAGGAGCCAGGTATATTTTTAACAATATTTTGCAATTCGCAAGCTTCCAGGATAAAACAACAGCACAGTCTTTTGTACATGTGTAAATTTAAAAGAGGCTGGCAGTAAATGCCTCTCTGTCCAGTCATGGAGGAATAGTCTCATCAATTGATTACGTGCTATTACGTAATATTTGTGATGGACTGAAACCCTATGCCACAGTGGCGGTCCTGTATCACATACATTATGAATGAACAAGTAAACACAAGTGCGCATTGCGCATCCAGTTTGCCCGTCAGCTAACCATAAAATCAACACAGCCCTACCGGCTTCTGGAAATCAATTTCAGCATTTGCAATTTAGCGTACGAGTCGATACGTTACCCGGTATTTCCCCTGGAGCACCCAGCACAAGCAAATTCCCGGCCTCAAGCATGGTATGTTCCTCACTATATTTTAATAATATTGCTTAATCTACATGTCATTATAGGTTTTATGACAGACAGATATATCCCGTGAGATGAGGCTGTTTTGTTGCTATTTTCTCCGTGCAATTCGCACGGAAACCATTTTCATCAAAATGCATGTCTCTCAATTAGAGTTGCCATCACGTCACTTTCGTTGCGTTATTCATACGATCTGAGAAGCCACGGAGAGTCACTTAACGACTTGGTGCCTGCTTCATATTTTATTCATCTAAATGTCACCTCAAGATACGACTGCTTATCCTTGTTTGATGGACCATGTTTACTCCTTTGTCTGCGCATATGAGCAGGATAGGGTATTCTAATAACCTATACTCCCGTAAAATATCTGAAGTCAAGAGCACGATTGAGCTGCATGTATGTACATGTGCTGCTAACTCTCACCCGACCTCGTCATAATCTTTGGCTTAATTCTTCCTGCTGATAATTAGGTCATTATATAGGCCTACATTAAGATTTTGTTTCTCTGAATTTGAACATTCTGGTGGGATGTGTTCTCCACTAGTCTGAACGGCTACATTCAATATTAACCATTTGTGTGACAGGACTTATTACAATCGAAATCATCCGTCGTAAACTGCATGCCTTGCTTGGCGTGTTTGTTTTTTTTACCAGTACTTGTACATGTAATAACGTACATGCAGTGCGTATGGAGTGTTTTGTGGCACTTTGGTCTGTAAGCCTGCTCACTCAACGTTAAACCAAATTCCCTTCGCTTGACAGCTCCTAAATTCGTCAAACTCCAAGCCTAAAATTATATACAATATAGTGCTGGAATAATCATCAGCATCGAATGAACTCAGTTAATCTATTATGCGTCCGTCAGGATTGAATGGGCACAAAATGATCTATTCGTTCGTCAGCGCAATGCGAACTAGGCGTAGAATTTGACGGGAGTGAATCTTCGTTTCTTGTTTTTAGTTGTCAATAAATCATCTACATTAGTAAATGCGATATTGAATTGTCTTATTATTTCAAAATTTCCATTTTTTCAACAGTCGACTGAGCAGCTCTCAGAGGAACAAATTAGTGGTAAGTTCATTGCTTCACTTGCAAGATGGACAAAATTGCACTTAATACTCAGGATTATTTGCAATACACGCAAGATTTTAGCCACTACTGTCTTCCTTATAGGTGTATCCAGATACGGGGTCTTATAGAATCTGATTCAAAATGGGAAATGAAGACAAAGGCATAGACAGAATTATAAACTGTAAAAAAGGAAAAACTCTAATCACATTAATTTTCTAAACACATTTTTGTACCCACCTTTGACAGCTTTTGACTCAGACATTGACATTGAAATGCGTTTAGGAATGTGTTTAAACGCTGATTTAACCAAGCTGAACGTGAACCATATAAAAGCGTTCAGCACATCCCTAAACGCATGTCAAAAAGCATGTCGTGGGTTAAACGTGTTTAGAAGTGGATACAGAAATGTTTAAACTCTCAGCGCTGTTTTCACAATGTTTGTATATGAATGATGTTCCTTCCCTCCTTGCGCAATGAAGGTCAATGCTTTGTATTTTTAATAAAAATTCTCGAAAATGCGCCTGGCGCTGGTAGCTCATGCCTTCAATTTTGTTCCGTCATTATTAAGGGCATATCTGACGCATTTTTGCTTTTTATGTAAATGTGATGTCAGCCCAGTAAGGAACTTCAACATAACAATTATCTCGGCACAAAATCTTGCCATAATCTTTGATATTTTGCTGTACACGTATCAAGTTGCTTTTCTTTGGAGATATGTGTATGCTGTTTAAGTTCATGATAGTAAGCCAGTAAACAAGGTTTTCAAAAAAAATATATTTTCACTTAGCAATCTGGGGCTCAAAATACGAGCAGAGGATCCCTTTTGGGAATATGATTGTCTTCCTGGAATGACAAAAGAACCCTTGAAATGAACTTCGAAGGAGTATCCCGTGGCATTTCACAATTATCAACGTCTTGCCTCACGTCTGCATTTCACTTCAAAACATGATCAGGAAATCTCGTTTATCTCGCTTCTAGCCTTCATATCCTACTGTATCATAAGGCAGAATTGCCGTCCTGTGACTTTCTCATTAAAGTATAATTCGACTGAATCTTCCCTTTTAGTCAGCAGTTAGTCACCTAGGATGGGGGGCTCAGACCGAAATTTACCTCAAAATAGCCCATGACGCTCAAGTTCCCCCCCCCCTCTTTTTCCTCAAGGAACTCGGGTATGCGTCCATGTGACAGATGTACATGTACAGCTTCATTCTTCAGAAAGTAAAAAGATGGAAAACCTGGGGGGATCGAGCCACTGCTTGTAGTGTGGCTGTGTTGTCGATTACTTGAGTCTTTTGAATCGGTACTCAGTAGAGATTGTCACCGCCCGTTAATGTACCGCTACATGGATTAACTTCGTCGAACCAAGTCAATATGTTGGAGATAGGCCCTAATGGTAGAAAGTCAGTTCCTCAAATGATTAGAAAATTTCGACCCAGCTCCATCTATAGCTCGATCCTCTCGCTGGCTCAGTAATGCAGTCGGTGATGGCTCAGGCCTAATGGACTTACGAACGCCTATAAAAGCATTAGTGTTAATTAGCTGCTATCATGATGCTTGGGTCTATGTCAATCATGGGTTCATTTACTCAATTAGAAATTTCTTACTGCATTGTCTGTTGGTGCAGTTTTAAAGAAAATGTCAAAAAGCAATTTCCACTTGGTTGTGCTTTAGAATTCAAGGAGGCGTTTTCGCTGTTTGACAAGGATGGTGACGGTACTATCACCACCAAGGAGCTGGGAACAGTCATGAGGTCGCTGGGTCAGAACCCCACCGAGGCTGAGCTGCAAGACATGATCAACGAAGTTGATGCTGACGGTAAGTACATCTCTTACCTCATACAACGATGCTTATTGTACACCGGAAGCCGAGCTAATAACTTAATGGAAGGAAACCCTTACTTTTCTATTCTCCGTTATTCCATTATAGTTTTGTTCCTCTTTGTCTGGAATCAAGACAAAATGGTAAGGCCGAAATCTCGTTAACATTAAGTTCTGAGTAATCTGGGCCATACTGACTCTCTGTGCTGCATTTTTTCTGTTTAAGGTAATGGGACCATTGATTTCCCCGAATTTCTAACTATGATGGCTCGAAAAATGAAGGAAACTGACAGCGAAGAAGAAATCAAAGACGCCTTCAGAGTTTTTGACAAAGACGGGAATGGATTTATCAGGTAACGGACAACAGTTGTGGGTGGCTCATACATGTACACTGCATTTTGATACTGACAACTGTTTCGTTATATAGTCAGGTCATCTTTATTACATAACAGTAGGTTTAAATAAAAATTTGGTGTTGTCTTTTCTTGTCAGTGCGGCTGAGCTTCGTCACGTGATGACCAACCTTGGTGAGAAGTTGACGGATGAGGAAGTTGATGAGATGATCAGAGAGGCTGACATTGACGGAGATGGACAAGTTAATTATGAAGGTAGGGGCACTGCAATAAGCTGTGAAATGTTTGAATGTAAAACTTCAATTTACACTGTGTTCAAATATACTGACCTCTTAATTGTTCCTCAATCAATTCTTGCATTATCTTTCTGCAGAATTTGTGGCCATGATGACTTCAACAAGGTAGATCACAGCCGATGACGAGCTATGAACCCTCTGTGACATCGACATGAATTGAAACAACCTTGCCGCTTTTGTGGACCCCAAAACCCCAGCACTTTCAATCCATAAAAGCGAGGAGTGAAACGACGCCATGCTATTAAACATAAATAGTATTCTTGACTCGGCTACATGTAGTCTGTTTGCCTGCATGGGCCTATTCTCATTTAAAAATCACGCACATTGAGTAAACATTATTATCATGCAGGACAACTTGGCATCAAGGTTGAGTTCATTTCTATGGAATTAGTACTGCAAACCTAGAACGACACACAATCTTACAATTTTTGAAATATTTGTAGTATATGGTTCAGAGTATTTTGCGGTGCATTTTTAGTGTTATGATGTGTAAGTAGTGGGTGTGCAATGGAAGTAACAAGTGTTTATATCATTTTAAAGAATTATATTTATTGTTACATTTAATCGTACATAATAGGTTTAACTTAATTACACATTATTTTCAATTGAAATCTCTTCCTGACATATCGCGTACATGTATATTCCCCTGTATACATCTTGCAGAGATTCCATGATTTTGGAATTTTACAGTGGTTGATGCTGGATCCTAAAAAGACGACACGTTGAATTTTGTTTGGGGCGCATAAATGAAACCATGGCAGAACATGACACAAGCAACGACTTCCATTTTAGCCGGCATCTTCGGTGGACCAAGATTTTGTACTTGCCTCCGGTTTACGCCGCTCGCGTATTTCACCAGAGTGGGAGACACCATTGTCCGAAGGTCATCCTACTTCCGACTCCTTTTTATGAGGTGCGGCCAGAGGTCTCTTCAAGCTGTCTCTACGTCAGCTCGTACGTATCGCTACAATTCACATCTTGTTCCATTCTGTTAATTTTTGAATTCATCTACCACCAATTTCAAGCCACTTATTGTTTGAAATTTTATCTATAAAAGGGGCACTACATATTGCGTGTTTTCCCGAACATTTTAACCCCTTTTTCGATCAAACTCGTAACTTCAAATTCGTCTTGAGAAGGCAAGAACGCGCAAATGCTTCGTTGAATTTGGTTAGTGGTCATCAATAGTCGATCTTGTTCAACATATTTGACCATTCGATTTCGTCAGATTTCTTAGAAATCGCCTCACCTGATGATCATGTTTGCAGTGTCAGGATTAAATTCATCTATGTTTTATTGATTTCAAGAATGGTGTACAGACATACACAGACTTATTTGGCCCCAGATGTTAAAAAAATGAAGGTTGAACTACCGATCCCGAAGGACAAGAACAGAATTATTTGTGGCGGATGTGAAAATATAAATACCATCCTTGTCAGAAGTAGGCCTACTTATTTCTTGAATGAATAGGAAGCATTTGCCTATATACGCGTAGACTAAGTGTCTTCCAATTGTTGACCTATAAAATTGTCAAACTACTAAAATGTACACACAAGTAAGTATACAAAGATATAATGTTGCTTTTACTGTTCTATTGTAGATCTGTATTAAACAAGAAAAATATGAAACATACAGAAAATAAATTGAACATTTAGTGAGTAGAAATGGACGAATGAAGATGTTAAGATACTGAAGGAAGTATGCAATCGTGTGACGAATTTTTTCAATGAAAATTATGCATTATATTGATCGCAATGACGAAATTGCGGACAACGAAACCAAATTGCTTTCCACGAAAAAGTATGGTAAATGTATGATTTTTTGGAACAAAGTACAACCCCGAGCGGTCAAAGAGGAAATTAACCGTAGGATATGAAAATTGAAAGGTCGTGACTTTGGGACACGAATTTGAACTTAACCGTTTGTGGATTTGAACAAAAAAGTTGGAAATGTGCGAGAAAACCTATAAAATAATACAGGTATTTGATATGTATAATCTTTAAAGTATACATTATGAATAATATGTGTTAGAATTTAAGAATACTAAGGTTTTGGTGTTTTGGTGACAAGTAACATATAAAAAAGTGCATAAAATAATTAAAAAGGTGCAAAGATAGCAAACCTCATGACATCAACCAGTACACGGCCATCTGAAGTTTTGCATTTTGATTTCTTCATGGGCATATGAATGCAGATTTTATATTACGATTATATTTGAACTCTTTTGTAATAAATTCGGTTTATTTGTATGAACGCCAGTTACTGTGTTTTGTCGTATCTCGGTCTCCACTTTAATCCCAAGGGGAAAGGTTACAAGGCACATGTATTCATGTAAGCCTATCATTGTCAAATCGTTCATTTTAAAAAGCCTATTTTGGAGATTTTAATTCCATGTTGATTTTGGCCGAATATCAAAGCAACTGGTCTTCTTATTTTATTTTCAGTATTGACCTTAAAAAATGAAACAGTTCTTAAGAGCTCTTTGAAATAGAGGCCCATTACTTTGTTTAAAAAATGATAAAAATGAAATAACATAAAGCCTGGGTAAGGTAAGGAAATGATTTGAATAACTTGCGATTCTCTTTCACTATTAAAATGTAGCAAAGTGGATCGAACGTGCCCGGTAAACGGCAGTAAATGGGGGAGGTGGGCAGGTGCGCATAAATACTGAAAGTATAAATCTGGCTAACGCCTTACGTTTGGTATTGTCAATCTCAGACTTCATAATCTACCACTCAACCGTGAAGAAAACGCGACTGGAATTACCTGGAGGTGATATGAAACACCCACTTCGATAAAGCTAGACGGACACTCATTGGATAATCTGACCCAGACACCGTTTCTATTTCAATGGACAGTAATGTTGGTAATTTTAATGACCAATATATTATTGTTTAACATTTTAATGGACAGTAAGTTTAATGGACGATGTTAACTAATATTGTTGAATTAAGAGACCTTTCCTTTTCTAGAGCAGACGCGGCCACATAGCTTCATACTAATTCTTTCAGATATAGGTCCCATGCATGGCTTGTGTTCGAAATGCAGGAACCGGAATGTAATGACAAAATAAAAGCACGCGCATTTTCCTGTTAAATCATTGATTGATGGATTGGTTGTGTTTACACATGAGATACTTTATCCACCCCTGTGGTCTTCAGTTACGTTCGCAAAACGTAAAGACTATCGATAGCAAAACACTGGATTTTGTATAAAAGCTAACACCAAAACAACAAACAAACAAGAGTGAATAATCCAATGCATACTGCACTGCATCGCACGTACATGTACATGTACACATGTACCTGTACATGTACAATCACATGCATCTATGCAGAGAATCGATCCGTAGCTCATGTAGGAGTTCGTTGCACGTATGTAAAGGATGCATCGCCTCACCTGTCGGCACCACCAATACGGGGACGATTGACCTTTTTTGTCAATTAACTTGTTTCCCGCCAAATTATAACAAAGAATTCTGGGATAGGGTTGCGGCATGAGGGTTATCTTCCGATGACGCACCGTCAACATGTATTATGCATGATCGTTGAGTCGCTCATCACACAGAGGAAATAAAGATTTTTTTCTTTTATCCGCGCATGTATTATTCATAAGAAGAGTTGATACACCAGACACAATCGATCACTGTGACCACACAGGCGTGGGCATCTCTGACACCGTCGTATGAGAGTGAGCTGCATAAAAAGACCAACGGGACTTCAAGCCCACTTTGAATTCAGACCTATTTTCAAATGCGTAAAATAACCACAGCGAACAAAGACAAGAAAGAGGAGATGCGATAAGGGATCCAATTTATTCGTTTCTTTTTCCTGTAGAAGTTGTGTAGTTGATAGGTATGAAGTTAGCTGGTAACAGTGCACACATGGGTCTGTACTAGGGCGGATATTTGTGCTGGAAACTGCGAGACGCGTGGGATGACTTGTCCGGCCATAGATATTCAGATATTTGAAAAGAGGGAGTGGGGGTGCTGACACCACTTGACACTAGGGGTTGATGTTCATAATTCAGCTATACATCTGTAATTGCATTTCCTGCAGAACCTTACATCAAGTGACCTATTAATGGCTTCTTTTTTTATTTTTCTCCCTTTGTTGAATACATTCTGCTTGTTGGTAAGTTCAAAAAACTTCTTCACAATCCGCCTCAGTATTTCTCACTACCTATTAGAGGGGGGATGATTCAATAGCCCAACCCACCCTCCAAAAAGAGGGGAATAATATACCCTAACCCTGGGATTTACGACCATTTAACCATTGGTCCCTTTCTTCCCGCCGTAGTAACCACGGCGAAGCACACCAATTTATCTAACATCACACGTATAACTATAACGGTGTGTCATGCACGTGCAGATCTGGGTCTGTGGTCCGTGCTCCGTGGTCTGAGTGAAATTCTGCACGGGAAGCAGACAGGCGTTGGCCCGGAAACAGACTTGTGCTCAGTGGTGTTGCCTTTCCGCGTCATCACCAGTTAAGTCAGTATCATCGGCAAGAGAGATTAGCCATGGAGCTAGAATTATAACAAAACATTTCTCAGCAGTCCATGTCTCACGCAAAATATTTTTAAAATGCAATACAGTAAATAATACAGTCGGATTTTCTTATCCATTGAAATTCTGTCCTCCTGAAATTGTGCTCATGAAAACATCATATGCCGCTTTGGGACTGCTGATGGCTAAATTGAAAAGAAAATCACTCAGAAAGTGTTGAACAATTCTAACTCGACAAACTGGGTTTCTTTATCCTCTCGTTTGACTGTGCTGACCTTTTTGTCAGTCATCTGCTTTTAACACTTAGTATCTTCTATCCTTAGTATAGAAATATCCATTCTATATCTAAATGCTTTATACAATAGTACTGAAAAGTCAGTATATACACAGTAAAGCCATCGCCACCATAAGCAGGTATACCGACTAATCAATCCAACCCATTGAATAATATTGGCCACATTTTTCGTGAGCTACATATCAGTCGTGGGATATAGGCCTATAGGGAGCACTGAAACTCTTCGGTGTTGCCAGATGCCTGGGACGACTGGCACCAGCTGAAGTTGCAATTATGGAAATCATTGTATAAAAGCTGTCCCGGGAAGGGGCGTTGCCAGAAAGGGACAAATTCCGAGGGGGGATCACTTAGCAGCAGCAAAACGACAAAACCATCATCGATGGGAAGGGGTCATTTCCCAGGTGTTTCGAAACAAGTGAATGATTTTCATCCCCTTTCCCCCTTTCTTCGTCGTTTATTCCCTTTTTCTTTTCTAATATTTGTTTTGACAGCACCCGACACCCATGTTCTAGGGTAAAATACAACGACAAGCTACATTTTCCTTTTCGGAATTCACCGTCCTTTTTGCCCACCTCCCCCTCTTAACTTAGGGGGGAGCTTTTTTCCCTCCCCAGCGACTCCGCCACCCTGCACTACTCTGATATCATGATAAGCAAACTGTACGGTGGTAACTACACCAATTAAGGAGAACGTCATATCGCTAGATCAAACTCTAGCGAAGACTCGCATGTTTTGGATGACTTTTTCGGTCAGTGAATCAATTGATGACTGTATCAATGAATTATCCACTCACATATCGCCGATATGTTGAAAACACATAATACCGAATACTGTTAAATAAGCAACCCGCTTTACATTCGCCGCCCCAACCTGCAACTTCATCTCTGAGCTACGTGACCAAAAAATCCCACACTGAGCAACAAATGTCGGACCCGAAGGGTCCACCATGAGGGAAAATACGGTTGAAATGAAGAATCGTTCTTCATTTCAACCGTATCGAAAAGAAGGAATCCGTCCGCTGTCCTCTCTCTCCCTCATTCCTTAACTTACAACGACGGTGGCACAAACAGCAAAAATTCCACATGCAGACGACGGTTGTATGTCGATCTACAGTGTTTTCAGCATCCGATTCCAAACCCTAGATTACACTCTATGCATAGCATTAGTACTGGGACACAAAACTAGCAATGCGTGACATAGTCAGCCTTCCGTCATGGTGATAGCCGCTGAGCCTACGTGACCCTGCAATTTAATTGGGTCCGAAATTGGAACCCGTTATTACTGTATCAAAGATATGTGTCTTAACCACCGGGCTATCGCGTTGAAGAGTTAAACCTGCTTAATCTTTGATACTCTTTGACAATGTCATGTACACAGCCTATCGAGCCATTAATGTACACAGAGCGATGGCAAAAACGAGGGGACCAGACGAAATGAATAATATATCAATGCGCACTGCGCATTTTATTTTTCCTGCAACAACCGGGAAATCGGGGACCCTGCGTCAGCTAAGACTGAGAGGTCTTTCACCATACACGGCTCGTCATATACCGCATTACAAAAATGGTATGTATGTTTCCTTTATTTTGTAGCACCACCTGTATAAAGCGAGGTGAGGTTTTGTTTCCTGTCGTTGATTGGATCATGGATTTTCATTCCCTGGTAGGTAACCGTTTCATCGAGGAAAGTTTAGTGATTCTCCAACAGCCCGACTCGGAAAGCAGTGATTGAAATCTGTGCACAATTGATTAGGACAGGCGAATTGGGGGCGGAGTGGGTAGATGACCTGTCGTTTCCATTACTGAAAAGAAAATGAAAATATGATTAGTTTTTTCCGACCAAAGTGTCACGGGCTCTACTTTGCATCTTTGCTGCTGACTGTTTGTGCACAGATGGTTTTGGGAGCGAGAGAACGTCCCCTCTCTAGCCAGACCATTGTGGGTTAATTTTGTAGATGATTCCTGTCAAACACTAAAAAAATTAATGGTGATTATCAAAGCAATATATTCTCGTTGAGAAAAGGGCCTGTCATCGTTAGAGGATATACGCATTGCTGGTGTCTGTAGGGGCTGTTTTTCTTAATTATTCTAAACTAGTTACAACGAATATACAAAAGGTTCACGTGAGTGTATCCTAGCTACAGCCTAGTAGTAACCGCCCCCGGCCTGCCCTCCAACTCTACCTCAGTGACAAGTTTGCAATCGTCGCTGGACCGAATGTAAATTCGAGTAGGCCTGCATCGTGTCATTAAACCAAAACCACATGTAGAGTACCTGTGCACGCAGACTTATTTTAATTGCTGATAGGAAATTTAAAATAACCTCAGCCCTGCCCTCTCGACCCTCTACCCTTTGTATGCCAATGACGTCAATTGGCCTATTATGATATAGCCCCGGCAGCGTGTTTTCAAATACACAACTGTCTTGCACGTGCACGCACAAGCGCGCATGCGCTCTTTATTTTCAAGCCGACAACAACGGTTTATCGTGCAACTTCAAGCAGACGACATTACAGCGCGGAATTTTTCAACGACTGACCTCGTAATCTACCAAAGTGTAGAAGCATAAAAAAATTTCAGAAGGAACTAAATACGGCACCACGGACAACACGTCACAATTTTCCTCCATTAGTGAGATGTTCAAATAACAGTAAATCTCAGAACAGTATAAAAATGTGGACCCGTAACATGGAGACGACTCTGCAGGCTAGGCCCCAAGGGCAACAGCCACAAAGGTAGCGAAAACCACCTATAGGGTTCGCCTGCGCATGCGCACGCCGAAAATAGCCGAATCATCCAAAAAGGTTCGGAACTTCGGACTGAACACCGTCAAAAAGATTGGATGTTTTTAACGCGGAAGTTTTAGAAATTTGGATGCTTTCTCAATGCGGATGTTTTCTCAATTCGGATGCTTTCTCAATTCGGATGAAATGAGATTTCGGGTAAAATGCGTGGGTCGATTGATAGCTTTACGTTTAGAAAAGTGTTCCAATTTGTTGAGAATATATTCGGAGTCAACAATTTTATTCCAACCTTTAAAAAAATATTTGGACTTTAAAAATCGTTCCAATGTTGAGAAAGTGTTGAATTTGTAAAATCTGATTCAAATTTTGAAAACATGTTCACCCTATACAAATTTATTCCAATCTAGAAAATTCAGCCCCTCTTTAAAAATTCATTCCAATCTTTAAAACTTTGTTTGGGGTTTTAAAAATTACATTGCAAAATTTAAAAATACGATTTTTTAAAAATGACATTCGTTTAAAAAAACATTCGATTCTTAAAAAAACGTTCGATTTTGAAAAAAGGCATTCCGTTTAACAAAAACACGTTCCAATCTTTTAGACCTGGATTCTGCTCCGTAAATACTGCAAGTGTATCCCAAATGAGAGCATGTTTCAGGCAAAAAGCGTACACTGGTCGAAGAAAATTACATTCTGCATTTCGCCTGGCATTTCGGCTAAGGCGACCTTTGATCTCAGTGTATAAAGTCAAATATTGTAGGATCAAGGGCTGCCATTAGGATACGGGAGTTTACCTTCAACAGCTAGCCTACCTACCTGGCCGGGAATAACCGAACATCGACGGTACCATCCGAACATGCCGAATGGCTATTTCCGGAAAAAAGGAGGAGTAGTCAGAATCATCGGCTCTCATGTTCATCAGCTCTGCCATATGCAGCAAGGTATG